GCCGACCCCCCCGACCCAGCCCCCCCCCTTGGATGAGCTCCTGTTCAGTTGACGGTGCAAAATTGACGCCGCTCCCGAGGGCACCGCATGCACTCGAATGGGGCACTTGTCGGAGGAGCCGAGGTGGTGGCGTCAAAAAACTCCGGGGCCACGTCCGGGGCACGCATTCGCGAGAAGCCCGGATCAAGTGTTGACAAGGCGCGTTCCCAGTGAAATGGAACGGAAGCCAGGTCGAGCCAGGAATTCGGGTCTTGGCGTCGGTCTGACAGAGAGTTCAGGGTGGGCGCGGCTTGCCAGGCCCACGCCGAATCCTCAGCCAAAACCTTCGAAGCAGAAAACTGAACAACAATAGAAGGCCACCAATATTCTTGGGGCGCCGTCCAGGGTCCTGAAAGCAGCGGTGAGGCGGCGCTGGAGGAGGAAAGGGTCAGTGGGGAGCGGAAAGCATGACATTGTCCGTACCATGGCCAGTTGTTTTGACTCGGCAGCGGCCGCACATCTGGCAAACCACGCGGCGGCGAGCAGCGTTCAAAACCCGAACTGCGTCCAGGATGGGCTCAACCCGCGTGTCTGTTTCGGATAGCAGGCGGGAAAAACACAAAGAACGGGCAAGGGAGAGCCTAGTGTCACGTGATATCCCAGGGTTCCCGAACAACCTGTGCACGAGTGGCTAGTACGCAGCAAGGCACGTGGAAGTCTTCGCTTTCGCATCGAGTTGGGTGGAGCCACAGGAGGTCCGCACCGTACCACCGTGCTTACACGCGTTGGTGACGGCAACTCGTTTGTCACCTGACGGAGTGGTCAAAAAGGCGTCTTCGTGGCAGGGTCAATTGAAGCTCGACGTGCAAGGCGAGCGCCCTTGCCGCAGAGTCCAATGTCAGGCTTTCCGGGATCCAAGCTGCACCGGAGGCCGCAGTCCTCGAATTCCACGGTGATGGTATCCAACCGCTGCTGGGTCACCGCAACGCACCCGTGCGCGCAACGATGAATGAGCATGAACAGAGCGTCGTCCACGAAATCGATGTCCGCCAGCGGCTCAGAGATGGGGTCGCGGGCATCCGGCAGCTCAGCGTCACCTCGAAGATCCCATGGGCACGGGGCGTCACCTACAACATGCTCGAGGAGGCTTTGGGCAGCGGCAGCTCGCCGAACTTTCGAGATTGCGTACTCGTAGATAACGTTGAAGATCATTGCGCCAATCTTGCATCCCTGCCGGCCCCCCCTCTGCGTGAGCACGACGAGGTCTTCCATCTTACGGTGATGTTGATGATGTTCATGGTGGTGATGATAATGGTGTGGTGTTGATGATGATGTTGCAGCTAGCGCATTTTTGCTCAGTGGTGAAGTGACGTTTGAAGGTGCAGAGCTGGTTTGTCAACGTGCTGACGAACCATGTGCATCGTGTGCGAAACAAGTTCTAACTAAACCACGCACCCACTTAGCCAACCTGGTTAGCAACATTTCATTTGTTGCGACCATTACCTAACTTGGTCAGCAACCGTGGGTGTCTTCTGGGCCATGCAAATGTCTGACCTCGCTGGTGCTGCCCACCTGGTTAGAGAGCTAGCTAAACTGGCTGGCGCGCTCAGCTACCCTAGTCAGCGGGGCTAGCTAACCTGATGAAGCCAACGCAGAAGGCATCTAACCATTAGTAACCAATACCCATACACATTAGCAACACGATGCAACATTGACCATCACCCCGCGCGGTAAGCCGCGCTAAGGAGCTAGCGACCACGTCAGCACGGACGTAGCAACATTGTATGCTGTATGACACAACAAGAAAAGTAAAGGGCGCAACCGCATTCCATGATTTCCAAACCGGCTACCCTCCCGAGCCCCTCTTGTTTCGGAGGTGGACAGACCTCCTACCCTGACACGTCGATTCAGAATTTGCACTTCTCGGTTCGCGAGAGGGCGTCGCGGCCGTCATTCTTGCGGGTCCAGGTCCGTCGGTTTCGGTCCCAGGCCGTTTTCATTAAGGGGAGGTCTATTAACGGGAGGTTTGTCCACCGCCGAGGAGGAGGAGGAGAAGGAGGAGAAGGAGGAGAAGGAGGGGAAGGGGGATGATGATGATGATGATGATGATGATGAGGAGGAGGAGGAGAAGGAGGAGGAGGAGGAGCAGGAGGAGGAGGAGGAGGAGGAGGAGGAGAAGAAGGAGGAGAAGGGGGAGGGGCCTGCTGGCTGATTGGGACTCTTGTCAGTCCGGGCGCGTTCTCTTCGGCCTGCAGGCCTCCAGGGGCCCGCCCTCGGGCTCCGGGGCCGCCCGGGGCGGGGAGTTCTTCCTTCGCCCATCGGGCCGGACGAAAGGGGGGGATAGGGAAAGGGGGGGGGTACGAAATTTGCCGCATGCAGCTGGTTTCGGCCCCGCCGAGGGGCCCATTCCTCGATACATAGCCGCCTCCGGCGCCGGGAGGCGCCGGGAAGATCAGCTACGTGAGCTGATTCTCAACCCTCCCCTTTGCTATCCCCCCCTTTCGCCCGGCCCGAGCCAAGGGGTCGGGACGCGGACTGAAACCGTTTCATTTGCCCTTGGCGTCGTTGGGGCGTGTGCATCTTTTCTCGGCGAGGACCATCGAGGAACATCTTTGATCATTCAGCGGGAAATGCACGCGCGAAATTGACAGATGCACGGGGAAGGGACGTCCGAGCGATGGCGAGTGCCTTGTGGCAGACTTCTGGTGTCTGTTTCTGGGAGGAGGGTCATGCGGTGGGGGCGAGCGTTCAGGCACGGAGGGTTTTCGTATCTCTGGGCGGTAACGGGCGTTACCGGCGGGAGGGAGGGGGAAGGGGGATGGGGGGCCTGTAACGTTACGGTTCGCGCCAGCGCCGTTTGGGAACGTTTAGGAATAGCCAATGACAGTTCGGAGGTCAGCGAGAATCGTGACGTTATTTGGGATGGGGCTTCATCCTCCTTAATCTTTCCGACGAAATGCTCCCAATAGTTGCCTCCTAAGTCCCTGGGTTCCTTATCCAGCGGTTCTTTGCCCAATGCTTTCACCGTTCTCGCCCGCTCTCGCCTTGGAGGTGGTGCTGGGGAGGTGTTTCCTCAAGCTCGGCCCCCGTGCGGGCCCATAGGCCGTCGGAAGTCGATATAGGGAGGAAAGCTTGCCAGGGTGGCGCCCACGGACAGAATTTGATTGGATTGCGAAGTGCGCATATGCCGATGCCCCATGTCTCGGGCCGGACGAAAGGGGGGGATTGGGAAAGGGGGGGGGTACGAAATTTGCCGCATGTAGCTGGTTTCGGCCCCACCGAGGGGCCCATTCCTCGATACATGGCCGCATCCGGCGCCGGGAGGCGCCGGGAACATCAGCTACGTGAGCTGATTCTCAACCCTCCCCTTTGCTATCCCCCCCTTTCGCCCAGCCCGAATGTCGTTTGAGCAGGCTCTTCAATCCTCTAAAGCTGAAGTTTGTTACGGAATGGGGGCGGGGAGGGGCAGAGGGGTCCGGTATCGTCGCGATGTTTGCGGCCATCCGCGCGAATCATGACATTACCAGGGGTGGGGGAAGCAGGGGGGGGTAACAGTAACGGTAACAGGCGTCATCGCGAGTGCATTATTCAAATTATTTGCGCCGTACCAAACCCTTTCTCCACGCGAGGCGAACATCGCCAGATGTGCACGATCAGCACTGCCCTCATCGCCGCAGTGCCTCCTAGGAGCCCGCGAAAGTGCCGACGGTGGCGCACTTCGTAGCCAGCCCCCCAGGGAGATGCAAGGTCTCGGTTGGGTGCGCGTGGCCACCTACACCGCCGTGCCTCCCAGGAGCCCACGACAGTGGCGACAGTTGCACAGTTCAAAGCCCCCCAGGGAGCAGCGAGGTCTCGGCTGGTTGCGCGTACTCCCCGACTCCGCCGTGCTTCCCAGGAGCCCGCGAAAGTGCCGACAGTTGCGCAGTTCGCACGCCCCCCAGGGAGATGTGAGGTCTCGGCTGGGTGCGCTTACTCCCCCACCCCGCCGTGCCTCCCTGAAGCCCACGAAAGTGGCCGCAGTTGCGCAGTGCGCACCCCCCCAGAGAGATGCGAGGTCTCGGCTGGGTGCGCATGCTCCCTCACCCCGCCGCGCCTCCCAGAAGCCAACGAAAGTGGCAACAGTTGCGCAGTTCGCACGCCCCCCAGGGAGATGCGAGGTCTCAGCTGGGTGCGCGTACTCCCCTACTCCGCCGTGCCTCCCAGAAGCCCACGAAAGCGGCGACTATATTTCGCACTTCGCAGCCCCCCAGGGAGATGCGAGGTCTCGGCTGGGTGGGTGTACTCCCCTACTCTGCCGTGCGTCCCAGGAGCCCACGATGATGGCGACGGTTGCGCAGTTCGAGCGCTTCCCAGGGAGAAGCAAGATCTCGGCTGGGTGCGCGCACTTCTCCCCCACTCCGCCGTGCCTGGGAATCCGCGAAAGTGGCGACAGTTGCGCAGTTCGCATCCCCCAGGGAGATGCGAGGTCTCGGCTGGGTCTGGGTGCTCCCCTACTCCGCCGTGCTTCCCAGGAGCCCACGGAACTGGCGACAGTTGCACAGTCCGCAGCCACCCAGGGAGCAGCGCGGGAGGAGGGAGGAGGAGGGGGATGAGGAGAAGGAAGCGCGACCGCAGTGCTCTATTCAAAACGAGAGACCAACAGCGCAAGGGGCTTGGGAACAAGACCAGATCTTGGCCAGAGTGTGCGCACGCGGCGCACACATGGCGCGTGGCACGGGCGCCAACGCGGCGAATCTTCGGGAAACCCGCCCAGCGCACGGGGCGCCCACGAGGCGTCCACGGGCGAGGAACGGCAAGTAAGGACGTCAACGTTCAAACACCGCTGGGGGGATTAAGTAGTTTTGGTTGGTTGGGCCTCCCTGAGGTGTCCTCGTCGCCACGGCTGGGGCCGCCTCGGAATCTGTGTCAGGCCGTGCCCTGGTAAAGATCCGGGACTCGGAGACCTCTTCGAAGGCACGAGGGCATGATGACTCTGAGGAGGCCACCCTCTTCTCCCCACCCCTTTTCTCCGCGCCGCCAAGGACTACGGATTCCCCATCTCCGTCGACGCCGACGGAGCCTGGCGCCAGCGGGTGGCCCAGGATGCCAGGCCTCCAAAGTGGGACGAGGTCGCCGATGCAGCAGCAGCGCGGCGCTACCTGGAGCCCGAGTTCTCCATCCTCACGTCGCTGATGCATCGGCGATGCCGTGCAAACTGCGGGCCCCGTGTCTCTCGGCTCTGCCGAAGGCAGGTTTGCGCCCCGCTGACGGGGCGGCGACGCCAGCCGCTAGCGCGGGTGTTCATGGCTTTCGGCCGTTCTCGAGCGACCTGCGCGAGTTATGGGAAAGCTGCGATCTTTCAAGGCTGAACGTTCCACCGTGATCGTTCAATGTGCACTGCACACCCGCGGTGCCAGAGTCGAGCCCACAAGTTGTCAGGACACGAAGTTGGCGTAGGGGGGCCTCTGCTGGGCGGGGCTAGGACCTGGATGAATCGTTCCAGAGCCTTCTGGATCGCTCTCAGAGCGTTCTGGAGCGCTCTGGAACGGCCGCGGCGCCCGATGCATCCTCCAGGACCTTCGGATCTCGGAGATCTTGACTTGTCCTGGTCGGATTATGTCCCGGTCTTGGCCTCGTCTTGCTCCGCAAGAGGATCAGGCGCGGCGAGATCGGCGGGAGAGTCGGAGGAAGGAGAGGCGACACACGCTACCACCGCCATCAGGGGGGGGCGCCTCCAACGAGGGGGTCCACGATGCCTTCTCGAGGTGGGGATCGGAGATGTCTCGAGCGAGAGTGGGGGACCACACCACCAGGTTTAGGTCGGGCCTGTCCCCCTACAGGCCGATTTTGGACGAAAAATGAAAGTATTAAAAAATACCCAACATGCTCAAAAAGTGTAATTAAAAACCGCCCACATACTATTTTTTTGACTATTTTTGAGTACAGTCGGGGCCCTGAAGAAGGAACCCTTTTGGTTCGGGAGGGGCTCCGCGTTCCTTAAGTGTTTCACAGCTTGCATCAGGTTTTCCTTCTGGTTTCGGTACGAAATCGAAGTTCAACTTATGGAAAAATGGGGCCTCGTTCCTTAGTTTGGGCTCCTTAGGTCAACTCCCCGACTGTATTCCTCCTGTAGAGGGACAGGCCCGACTTAACACCAGGTGGACTCGATCGATTCATATCGGAAACCTAAGGAAAATCCAAGACAAGCTGCGAAACACTTAAGGAACGCGGAGCCCCTCCCCAACGAAAAGGGTTCCTTCTTCAAGACCCCTACTGTAACACCAGGTGGACTCTCTTTGGCGCTTCCCCTCTGCTCCTGGCAGGAGGAGCAGGTGCGGCAGATGCCCGCCCACTGCCTGCGGCACCTGACCAGCGACCGCGTCCGGGCCCTGCTCCAGGCGGAGAGCGCTCGCCCCTGGCTCCTCGGGGGACAGGAACGCGACGATCATGACCAAGACGTCGCGGGTGGAGGGTTCCTCCGAAGGGTTTCGGCGACCCGTCCTCCTCCTCCTCCTCCTCCTCCTCCTCCTCCTCCTCCTCCTCCTCCTCCTCCTCCTCCTCCTCCTCCTCCTCCCCCTCCTCCTCCTCGGGTCGCCCACTTCCCCGGGGGAACCCGTGCAGTCGCGGGATCTTGCCGACGCCGATTCTGGCCACGGTCCATGCTGGCCGTCGCCGGTTCGCGAGGATGCTCCACGCATTGACGACGACCAGAATGGACGATGATCAAGATCGACACCGACGTTTCCCCTGGCAGGGCTTCGAGTTGCGCACGGACGAGCCCCCCGGGTTATTCCCTGCTGGCCTCAGCGGGCCCCCCGAGTGGCCCGGCTGGCCTCCACAGGCGCTCCGAAAGTCCAGGGCGATCTCGAAGGCCAGCTGGGGCTGCTTGGGGGGGGGCGCCTGCGCTCGACCTGGAGCTTCGGCACCAGTTTCCGCCCCCGGTCTTGGTCCTGGCCCTCTGCGTTCTTGTCCTCCGCCTCCCGCCGCAGCGCCCCCGCGGCGCGGACGCGGCGCACCTCCGCCGCGCCGCCTGCCTGGCGCGCGCCGCGGCCGAGAGGCAGGCCGCCGCCAGGGCCCTGCAGGACGCGGCGGGCCTCTGGCAGGCGGCCGCCGAGGCGGCGGCCGCGGCCTCCGGCGGCCCGTGGCCCGTCGGGGAGCCGCCCGGGGCCAGCCAGGATGGCGGCGCGCAGGGAGGGCGCGACGCCTCCTCCTGCTCCTCCTCCTCGTCCTCCTCCTCCTCGTCGTCCTCCTCCTCCTCCTCCTCCTCCTCCTCCTCGAGGCCCCCGCACGGTGTGGGGGCCACACCGCGTGGGAAGTCCGTGGGGGGTCCGAGGTCACTTCGCGGGTTTGGGACTCGAGTCGTTCTCCGAGGACGTCCCGACCGACTGGGGCCTGCGAGGTCCCAACGCCGTGCGGTGACGGACCGCGTGGTCAGGTCGCTTGGGATGCCGAGGTCGCCACGCCGCGATCCGTCCGTCACCAAACGGTTGTGGGGCCGCGAAGTGACTCGGAGAAGGTTCAGGTAACGATACCCCTACCCTTCTCTCGTCTCGTCTCGTCTTCGCCGTTCCGGGCCTTCTGGGAGGCCTTCGACGCCACGGCTGCACCCGCCTCCAGGTTCTGGCCCAGAACGCGCCCTGGGAGAGGTCGGGGGAGCAGCGGCATCGGTGATTTCCCGCCAAAGCGTGGCGAGCGGGGGGGCGGGGTCCAGGGAGCAGCGGCATCGGTGCTTTCCCGCCAAGGCGTGGCGGGGGGGGCGGGGAGGTGATGTTCTGAGGGGGCCGTTTGGAGGCCTTCCTGTCTTCCAAGGAGCTCCGGGAGGGGCCGTTGGTCCCCCGGGGCGGAGGCCCCCGACTTCTTGCAGGGCGGCTGCCCCTGGAGGCTCATTCTCGCCTGGCCACAGAGCTTCTCCGCTGCACGCTGCGGGGATGCATGGCCCCACACCATGCTCGAAATTGCCGCAAGCGTGTAAGACGAATGTGCGCGGCGATAGGGCGAGAGCCCCACTGCGCTGTGGCGCTTCTCGGCCCTGGAGTTCGCACCGCGTGGTGGATTTGATGCCTAGAGGAGGGCGCGGCATGCAGTCGTCTTTCGTCGAAGACGCGGGGCGGCACATCCACGGAGGACGGGCCCTTTGCGGGCCTGGCGGCCGCGGTATGCAGGGCGTGCAAGGCGGGCCTGGAGTTTTTTTCATCCCATATTTAGCAGCCCAAGCTTGTCAGGTGGGGAAGCTTTTATTACCCATCGATCGTCAACAGCATTTTTGGACTCCCATATTCCGATCTTCAGGCGCCTTCCTATTTCAAGAGCCGAGCGGCTCCCCCCTTCCCTCCTCTCCTGGGGCCGGGGGGAGACCCAATCTACGTCAACGTCCTCCTATTTCGTGTTTCTAACCATTCGCCCTGCCGCCACCATTCGCCCTGCCTCCCAAACGCCCCCCCAACGCCGACCCCACATACGAAAGCAGCCACAACGCGAAGCCAGAGGCCTCGGCTGAACCGCAGTCCCCACGACCAGGTCAGAGCACTGCTGCTGCTGAAGTGCTGAAGCAGCTGTGGGGAGCGAGGCCCTCCCCCCCCCGTTGGCCCTGCCTCGGAAACTGGAACATATACATTACCAGTGGTGGCCTGTTTTTGCAAACCCAGGACTTTTTCAGGGTCGGGGACGACGCTGGGGTGGTGTGGTGTATACTTGTTCCCTCGATGTCCCGGGGAAGCAGCGAAAAGTGTATACGCCAGGGCCCCGTATGCACCAGGACCCGCTCTCCGGTGCAACTTTCACTGCGGGGCCGGCAGAAGCGTCGGTGCATCGAGTTTGATTCCCTGCGGCCCCCCCCCCTGGATCTGGATGCGCGCGCCGCCAGGAGAGCGCCCCGCCACCGTTCGCGCCGCCCGCGCGCGGCGCCCTCCGGCCCTCGGGCCGCGGCGCGCCGCGCGGGCGCGCGGGCTCGCTGCGGGCGCGCCGCGGGCCGCAGGTGGCCGACTCGCCGTTCCGGTGAGGCCCTGGCCCTGGGGCTGCCGGGGCTGCCCACAGTCATGGGCGGCTCCAGGATGGGGATGGTCGGGATATCGTTGAACCGATCCCCATCCCCATCCCCGTCCCCTTCGAGACCCCCACCAAAGGACCAGCCCAGTCGGGGATACACCCTTCGAAACCCGAAGGGAACGGCCTACATCCCCATCTAGGGGGGTAAATCGGCCAGTGTGGCCCAGGCCACGCTGCTGGGGATGGAGATCGGTTAGACGATACTCAGATGGGCCCCAGGTTCGAGGTCTCGTCGGTTTTCCGGCGTGTTTGTCGGCTCTCGCCGGTTTTCCAGTTGATCGGGTGTTCTCCAGCAGCTGCGTCTCGCCGAGGGCTCACCAGAGGTGCTCGGATCGTCCCGAACGGCCGCTTGGGAGTGAACCCGGAAACTAGGCGGGTAACGTTAGGTGGGCCTTGAGGTTACGGGGCCCTGAGGACGAGAACCTCAAAAAGTGAAGGATCAGTGCGTGACCCACTTCCCATTCTTAGGGCTGCATCCCTGAGGGCCCCATCCTGGAGCTGCCGCGCCAGTGGGGCCAGCTCGCTGTTCCGGTGAGGTTCCGCGGCTGCCGGCGTTGCCCACGTCCATCGGGGGCCGCGTGAGGGGGGGAATCGGCTCAGAGCGTGGCGCATCGACGCGCAAGTTGTGCGCGAGAGGGGGTAGGACATGGCCCACAGGCCGTGCGCGAGAGAATGTTGTCAGGGACAACGCTAGCGCCTCCTCCTCCTCCTCCTCCTCCTCCTCCTCCTCCTCCTCCTCCTCCTCCTCTTCGGGGGACGCATCGATCCCCAATCGCCCACTCATTGCTGATCGGGGCCCGATACAGCCCACCCCGCCCAGGAAGGTGCCCCTTCGCGATCGCCGGTACATCGGCGATGCATCGCGGATTCCAGGTGGTCGATGTTTGCCCCCCTGAGCCAGTCTCCCCATAGTTGCCCCTCAAGGTGAGGTTTGCAGCTACTGGCGCTGCCCACAATCACGGGGGGCGCATCGCTGTCATGAAGCAGGCGGGTCTTGAGGGAAACGGGTCCTGAGGTCTATTTGTTCCCCCCTTTTCAGCCTCCCGGGCGTGGCTCCAGGGCCGTTTGGAAACGATTCGGGGGAAGACCTTGGGGTCCAGAACCCGCTTCCCTAAGGACCTGCTCTGGAGGCCAGGAAGTGGGCGCCGACACGGGCACAGGGGGTTTGTTCCACCAGGGGGAAGATGGTGATCTTTCGGCCACGGGTAGCGGTGTTGGTGCCAGCCTCTAGGCCTCCCACCGTTTGCTTCATGCCACATCGCTGCCGCCCGCGGTCGCGGGCGGTGTCTGCGCTCGCGCTCTCGGGCCGAGAGCTCCGCGCGGCTGGGCGGGTCGCGCAGTGAGCGGGTCGCAGCTGGTGGTCGTCTCGACGTTCGGGGCGGGGCGGCTTGCGGCTGCCAGCGCCGCGGCGGCTGGCAGCTGGCTTCGGCGGCGCGCCCACGGGGGTCCAGGGGCAATGTTAGGGGGGACGGGTTCGGGAAGGAGCGCATCGGATCCCAACGAGCGATTCGTCGCCGACTGGCGCCTGCTGGCACAGCCAGCCCAGCACCGTTCGCCGTCGCCGATCTATGGGCGATGTATCGCCAATTCTGACTCGATGCTTCCTGACTGAGCCCCTCGCCCCTATCGTTGATCCTCGGGTGGGGGTGGCATTCCAAGAAGACAGGGGGGGTAGTGTCTTAGGCACGCTCCTGCCTCTGTAGCCTCAAGTCCCGTTGTCTTGCCCGGCTGCGGTCTGCTGTATAGGCCGAGGTGCAGCTGCCACCGCTGTGGCGTTTACCATACGCGCATCGCATGTTGTGTTTGCCCTCGGATGCAGCAGTGTAGTGGCACGACGAGCGACAGGATAGAAACGGTTGCTGCGCCGCCGACTTTCCGCATGCTCCTCCTCCGCCTCTCCGCGTGCTTCTCCTCCAACTACTGTTCGTGCCCTCATCCTGTCCCCCTTATCTCATCCCCCCTCGCCCTCCCATTCCTTTGCCTCGTCTTCCTCCTTCTCCTCTGCATGCTTTCCCCCCGCCTCCCAACCCGCCTCCTAATCCTGTATGGGGATGAAGCGGTGAGCAATATAAGGCCAGCGTTGTCTCATGTCATGCGATTTGCCACATGCACCTTTCGAGCTCTGACTCCGCTATCTTTCCCATGGGCGTATCCGCTTTCCCCACCTGGGCCTGCCTACGCGGCGCAGATAGGCCGTGGATCCACAACGGTTCGAGCGAGCACAGCTGGTAGCGGAAGTGTTTTGAATGTGCGAGGAGTCGACATTGGTTCTCACCAGTTTAGTCCCTTGATTTCCGATCCCTGGTGGTGGGATGAGCAGACTCCTGTGCGGGGCGTTCAGTTTGTAGCAATAAGCAGATCATTATGTGGATTGTTGCGTCGCCTCTTGGTCGTTGCTCACCTCTCATTACCCAGCTTTCCTCCCTCCTGCAGCCCCTCAGACATAGGCACGTGTGTTTTGCACCCACCGATTCCCATCCGTAAAGATCCGGACCATTCCCCGACCAGCGCAATCCGAATTCTAGACGCTTCGCGTATCCCAACCAGCCAACGGGTCCGAGAGTGCTTGCACCCTTCTGACTCTGTTTTCCTGATTGCGCGCTGCCGACCCGGGTCTTTGACCGTCCGGTGGCACAGCCTCGCTAGTCGGACGATTGGTCTGTATCCTACCGCACAGGCCACGACATCTCTTGGCGTGCAGGTTCAATTCACCCTGATGTTCCGTCTGGGTCTCGCAAGTGTGCAGCATGCAGCCCTGGCCGTTTGCAGCCAGCTCAGCCAGCTCAGCTTCAGCCAGCTGCCCCCCCGGCGGTAGGTTCTGATCCCGCGCTCGGTCACTATGTAATTAGACTCGCGCGTAGCCCGCTCGACTTTTCGGACGCCCCATGCCGCTGGCGGCCGCGACTTAAAAAAGTATCCCCACCAGCCTGGGTGAGGTGCTCAGCACTGCTATCGGCAGTTCACTTGGCAGTTTTATGCGCGCTGCCATTCCGCACAGGCGTTCGATGTCGACCGCATCCATCGTCTTCCTGGTTGGCGGCGTCAGGCGTGTGGCCGATCCGTTCAGGTTTTCGGTGTCGATCCCTTCCATCGTTTTCCTGGCTGGCTCTTCCTCTCGTTCTCGGAGAGGGGATTGCCCCGGACCTTTTCTCTCAGGAGTGAGTGTGCGACTTCGGTGGCGCCGCTCGTATTGGTTCCTGGTCGGTGACGTATCCCTGGCCATCGGTGTTAATATTACCTCCTGGAGTGTATTGCAAGCGAGTTGCCCCCCTCAGGGGTTGTGTGCATGGATGTCTCGTGTGGTTTATCCTACGTCAAGTCTTATACGCCCTCAGCGGTCACTTGTCAGCTTCGCTGTCTGTGACCTCGCCGCGCCATTTTGGCTGCGTATAGCTCCTTGGTTCAATGTTTGCATCGGCATGCCCCCGGATCCTGGTGCTGGTTGCAGTTTGCATCGCCCGTCGGCAAGGTTTCGGGCCCCGCCCCGTTTCCTGGCACCACCTCGCGCAGCGCGGCAGCTTAGGCAGTTTTGGCAGCTTTGGTTCGGCCGTCGATCTTCGTGCGCTAGGCAATGAGGTTCGCGCGTAGCCCGCCCGACCTCTGATGCTGCTGGCGCGCTCGCCTGCGGCCGCGACAAAACAAGTATCCCCACCAACCCATCCAGAAACGATGTCCAGGCGAGTTGAGGTGATCAGGGAACTGCGGCAGCAAAGAAGAGGACGGCCGAACCGATTGAGGAGGAGAAGGAGGAGGTGGATGGATGGATGAGGGAGTGGGAAAAAGGAGGATGAATAGGATGAGGAGGAGGCGGAGGCGGAGGAGGAGGAGGAGGAGGAGGAGGAAGAGAAGGAATAGGAGCAGGAAGGATGAACAGGAGGAGGAGGAGGGCAAACACAATGTCCAAAGGTTTTTTGGATGCCTCTCGGAGCCTCTCGGAGTATCTCTTGGGCGATTATTGGTGGCCTCTGTGGCCGGCTTGGGGGTCTCTTGGCGATCCTGGGGGGCTCTTCGGGGTCTTGGGTGCCTCGGGGGGGGGGCCTCTGGGGGCCGTTTACGGTCTTTTGGGGGGCCTTTTGGGGGCCTCTTGGGGGCCTCGTGGGACCATCTTGGGGCCATCTTGGGACCTCTTGGGGCCTCCTGGGCGCTTCTTGGGGCCATCTTAGAGGAGATCGGTCAACGAAGGTGGGTCCCTCAATTGATGTCCCCCCCGGGACAACATGGGCCAACATCCCAGTGAAATCAATGATTTTGGCTTCCTCGCCGAGGCCGTTTTGGATGCTCTAACTACCCGCGCCCCCCCCCCGTCCATGTCCAGAGGGGGGGGCGGGGGAGGGGTAAACCCTTCCCCGAAGGGGAAGAGGGAGGGGTGGAAGAGGAAACGCCCTAAACCACCGACGCCCAGAGGGCTGGTGGGATTTTGCGAAAAGGGTCAGGCAGGGCATGACGCGCCAAAGCCCATCTCAGCGCTTGTGCATCACAAGATCCAGGTGATGCGGTAGTTCAGGAGCCGCACGCAGTGGTAGATGATCTGGAGAGCATCTCTTGTTTATGCCAGCGGCGTTGGCCCTGGCGTCCTCCCATGAGCGCCAGGAGCTCGTGAAGTCCGCTCCCTGGATGGCGGAGTCCAGTGGCGACCACGGCCGCAAGACCAGAGGCCTCAGGCTGTGGGCCTCTCGGTTTGGCATGTGCTGTTTTTTCAACAGAGATGGGTTAGGGTTCAGGCAGCTGGTCCCTCCCTCTCTCCCCCCCTCGCTCTCCCACTTTTCTGATCCCCGCCTCTTTCCCATCTTCGTGCAGTGCACCTGTGGCACTTTGTCGTCGAGCTGCACATTGGCGTGTGATGTGCGTTGGCCCTGGCACTCGCTTTCGTTGAAGCTGGGGGAGCGACAATCACGCCGCGTCTGCCCAAACTCAGCAGGATGCGAAGCCTATGGGGGGAGCTTTACGTTTTGTTCCACGCTTTGGTGTCTTGAGGCTTCCGATCGGGTTTGAGAGCCGCGCCACAATTTGTGCCAGGTACTCTGTGCGGCGGCGCAAGGCGACGCCTGTGGCGTTAGCAATGCGAGACGCAGCTCGATCAATGTATTGCACCCGGCCACGCGAGCGGATGATCAGAGTTAGGCCCCGCGTAAGGAAGGGGCGATGATGAGGGGGCAGCGAGGTTTGCAGAACGAGGGGCCCTTCAGGGCTCCTAAAGGGTCCCTTCGGGCCCAAATGAGGGCCTGTAGGGCCCGAGAAGTGCACCGTCCTCCCCCCCCCATTGATCGCCCCCCATTCAAGTGACAACCAACAGAGAGCACGGTGGATCGTTGATGTAGTTCTCATGCACGCTGCAATCGTTTCTGGGTTCTGTTGGTCTCCAGATGCTCTCTCGGGGGCCCGCCCGCAAGTTGTGCGCGTGGTGCCCGGAGGGTTTTGGTGTATGCACCACGTCGTCTGGTCGGCCAAGGAGCTTGGTGTGTAGACGCCCCAGCTTCTCGAGCTATAGGATGCTGATGCTGGAGCGTGTATGCACCGAGCTTTGTCGCCCTCTTCTGTCAGCAACGCTGCAACCCCCCCCCCGTCACAATGTCCCTCTTCATCAGTCTCTTTAAGAGGCGACTCCGTGAGTAAGCAGTAGCAGAGGCCCCGATTGACCAAAAGGTTGGCCAGTGAACAGGTGACGCGCGATCGGGAACATTCAAAGCAACCTTCACGCGTAATGCAAAAGTGGGGACCGTACGCACTACGTGTGAGCAACATTCGCACCACTGTGTTGAATAGGAGGGGAGGGGAGGAGTGCAGGGGGGGAGACGAGGGCAAGACTTGTCCTTACGTCTACAAGCAGTGCTCCGCGAACGCGTTCTCGTCCTCTTGTTGCGACGCTTGCAGTCCAGACGGGAGAAGTTGGGACGGAGGAGGTAGGAGGGAGGTGCATATAGGAAAAAGGATTGAGGAGGGATGGTGCAGGAGGAGGGAGGAGGATAAGGAGAAGGGCGGAGCGAGACGGGGAACGCAGGGGAGTCAGCGGAGGAGCAAGAGAAGGCGGGGAGAGGACGAGGACCAGGACGAGGGAGGGCACCCCCTCCAGAGGGCCTAGGGGTACTACCTGTGGGGGCAGCGTTGGCGTCGTGGGGCGTGCATGTGTTGAGCCCTGCGAGCGATGGAAGGGGTCCAGCGGCCAGCCGATTTCCAGGGCACTCCAAACAGGGCCTCGCCTTCGAGGAATTTCTGAAGGTGATGTCTCGCCGCTGGGTGTGATCAGGCTGGCGAGGGGCCCGCGGACAGGAAAGCGAGGGCGGCCTATGCCAGCAGAAGCCCGCGGGAATAAGATTTTACCCGCCGACTGTCGTCAGCGTCAGCGTAGTCAGATTTACGGTCGGGAGCTCGTGGATAGCGTGTCGCTCCGCCGGTTCTGGCCCACGACGCTTCGGCGCGACACGCTATCCCGTTCCCAGCCCCCAGACGTCGACGTCCCGAGCCTTTTCCAGCCTCCTGGCCCGCGGAGCGGCGTGACACGCTCGAAGGGCATGGGCGTGTCGCCGGGGCCGCCGCCGCGACACGCTAAGCAATTCGCCGGCCCAACGGGCCAGGGCGTGCTAAGATCTCCGGTAACTGGTTAACAGTATTAACAGTATTTCTAGTTCGCGCGCGCGGGGCGGCCCCTGGGGGTCCCCCGGCGAAAAGTACCCCGACCGCCGCCCGACCAAGTCTACTCAGAGATGGTTTTCCTTCTGGGTGCGGCCTCTCAGGCTCCCCAGAGCGCGCTCAGAGTGCCCCAAGAGGCCCCCAAGACTGCCCAAGAGGCCCCCGAGACGCCCAAAGAGCGCTCGAAGACGCCGAAGATGACCCCAAGACGGCCCAAAAGGCCCCCAAGACAGCCCAAGAGGCCTCCAAGACGCCCCAAGAGCCTTCCAAGAGGCCTCCGAAGAGAGCCCCAAGAGGCCAAAATCGTTGATTTTCATTGGTTTTTTCGATGTTTTTTGTGTTCTGGCTTTTTCGGCTTCCGGACGCTCCAAGACGGCCCAAGAGGCCCCCAAGACCGCTCCAAGACGGCCCACGAAGCTCCCAAGACGGCGCCGAAACGACCCAAGAGAGCCCTCAAGACGGCCCAAGTGCCGCCCAAGACGGACCAAGAGGCCCCAAGACGGGCCCAAGAGGGACTCAGGAGGGATACCGAGAACTCAAAAATGGAGCCCTCCGTCCCAGAAGGCGCCCAGGAGGTCCCAAAGAGGCCCCAAGAGGCCTCCAAGAGGCCCCAAGATGTCGCCAAGAGGCCCCAGGAGACTCCCAGGAGGCCCAAAAGAAGCCCCAGAAGGCTTCAAACATGTCTCCCAGGCGCCCCCGAACGGCCTCTCAACAGACCCCAAGAGGCCCCCCAAAGAAGCATCTTGACGACGACTCTATTTCGCCCCATCGAGAGACGACCCCCAGGGAACTGCTTCACCATCAAAACTCCCCACGCAACGCGTCCGAACGACACCCGCCCCCAAGAGCGCAACATGGGCAACGAACACACAGACAAAAACCAGCGATGCCATATCACGGGCCGGCGGAATGAGCGAAGCGATTCAATAAAGTTCCCGGCCGTGTTGTTGTGGAGGTCGATTAATGGAGAGGAAGCGTGCTGCCAAGTACTTTCCAGATGTCCAAGAGATGTTTCACATATATTTTACATACGTTAAAACATGCTTGAAAAGTTGTTAGAACATGTTTTACATATGTTAAACACGCTTTTGATTCAATGATCGGTTTTTCAGAGTGCCCATTGTCATGGCATCCACAACCGCACTGGAGTCGGCCATGCAGATCTGCCCGGTGCGAGCCAGTGCCGGAGGGGCTCCCGCGGGAGGTGGTCGACCCGCCGATGTTTCCGCTCCGAAGCCAGTTGCGCTCAAGGCCCCGTTCCCGATCCCTCGGCGCCGGCACGTCGGCTTCTGTGCTTCGGCGGCGCGCCCGCGGGGGAAGCGAGTCTTGGGCGAAGGCATCTCCGTGTCCGCGGCCTCGGCCTGGGCCCCCGAGGCCGCGACGCCGCGGGCGTGTTGTTCGCGAGTGTCCTGCGCTGAGCGTGTCGGTGTGACCGCGTATCTGATGGTCCTGCTTTCCACCACCACTACCAGAAGCTGGAGGGGGAGGGGGTCCTCCTCCTCCTCCTCGTCCTCCTCCTCGTCCTCCTCGTCCTCCTCCTCGTCCTCCGCTTCCCTCCCCCCTCCAACTTCTGGTGGCGGTGGTGGAGAACAGGCCCATGAGTGTCCGCGGGATCGCGCTGCAGAATCCAGACCTCGAGGTCGCGGATGCGGACACGTTCGCCGCGCGTGCGCGAGAGGGGACATCAGGAGGGAAAAAAACACACAGACACAATTAATCGGCGATTCCCCAGAAAATATTGGAAAATATGGGAAGTGGGGGGGAAGACAGAAACCCAGAAAATATAGGAAAATATGGGGAATCTTTTTATTTGTGTGTATTTATTTGTGGGTCCTGGGGCCCCTTGAGGACAGGCCCTCTCAGAAGGTCGGCGGGGCTCAGAGGCCCGCTCTCTCCCGGATTGGGGGCCCTCTCGGGATGGCTTCCCGGGGGGAGCGGAGGTTTGCTGGGCCTTCTGAGGAGGGCCGTCCGCTCGCTCGCTCGTGGCTGGTGTGGTCGTCTGGTGGCCATGCAGACCTGTCCTGCCACCTCCCCGTGTCAGAGCCCCGAATCATCAGGGGTAACTCGGGTAAGGGCTAACTCGGGTTCGTTTTTCGGGATTCCGAACCCGATTTATCCCGGACCCGAGTTACCCCGGATAATTCGGGCGTCCAGAGCCCCAAAATCATCAGGGGTAACTCGGGTCAGGGCTAACTCGGGTTCGTTTTTCGGGAACCCAAACCCGAGTTACCCCGGACCCGAGTTACCCCGGATAACTCGGGCGCCCAACCGCGGCTGAACCCAACGGGGAGGTGGGGGCGCATCAGGGAAAAAGGTGAGAAGCACGATGTAGAACACGAGGTGCCAGAACGGCCAAGGCGGGGTGGAGAGGTGGGGCGCCTGAACAGGACGTGAGGGGCCGTCCGCTCTGCCTCCCCCAAGCTGGGCGCGCCGCGCAGACCTTTGTTTGCGAAGCCATGCCCTCCAGCATGGCCTTCTCGTACATCTCGGCTACACGCAGAAGCGAACCTTCGCCAGAGTGACCCTCGCTGCGCGGCTTCCCAGGGGGTCGCGGAGGGGGGCCAGCCCTGAGCACGCAGGGCCGCTGCTGCTGCGTCGCGCGTGACGATCGGCAACTTGCTGACCTCTTGGTGCGCGGCTTGAAGCCGCGAGCCAAAGGGTCGTTCTTGCCCAGGGCCGCTTCGGCGTGTGTTCGCACGTCGCTCCGTGGCTGTCCCGCGCCTGCGGCAACACGCAGGCCGCCACCACGCCCTGCGCGGACCTCGCCGGCGCCAAGCCGCCAGGGGAGGGGCCGCCGGCGCGCGACGGCTTGCTGCGAGAGCGCGCGAGGAGTGCTCGCCATGCAGCAAGGCCAGATCTCCAGCGATATTATTCGCCAGCCTCGAACTTGGCATCGCTCGGACGTGTGCATTTTTTCTCGGCGAGAACCATCGAGGATCATCCTGGACCATCGAGCAAACAAAAACACGCACGAAACCGAAAAAGACCCGGGAAATCGACGTCCGAGTGACGGCAAGTGAACTTATCCCTCTCAACAGCTCGACAAGCCTAAGGCAATGACAAGTTCGGGGATGTGCTGTGGGGATCCTCAAAAGGGCGGCGCCGAGGTGTTGATATGCCAATCATAGGGATAGGGATATGTTTCAGGCTGGTAAGCTATGGGGCGTTCCGGAAAGGGCGCTTCGCCTCTGAAGGTCGGCGGAAACCAGCGGAGGTATACCGAGGTCGCCTTCGCCGGTTGTCGGCGATCGGCGCTGCCCCCCCCCCCCCACACAGACAAGATCTTGGCTTCTTTAGGCGCCTGCGTCTGGCGATTTGTCAGGAACCCCCCCTAGCCCAGTCCGTTTGCGCGACTGGTAGAAGCAGGTTCACGAAGCACCCGCCGAGACCCAGCCCCCCCCACCCACACCATTCGGTCAAGTGTCGGATCCCGGAAGAACAAAACGCTTACGATGTTGTGTTCGTCAAGCGGCGCTTTGTTCAATTTTGTTTCTCCCTCGGCGGCCGGTATCGGAGCCCAGAGATTTTCAGAGGCGGATCCGGGACGCAAAGTTGCCCCGCAGGGAAGGGGTCGGGAGCCCTGGGACCGAGGATTCTATCGCAGGAGGTCTGGGAACGGGTCCTGAGCGAGACGGTTTGCGCCGCTCTGGGCATCTCGGGGCCTGGCTCTCGGGGCCCGCGATGGGCCTCAGGGTCGTCAACGAAACGACCCAAGACGAAGAGCTGGTACCAGTTACCAGGGAAGGGTTCCGGCTCCAGGACATGCCATTTTCTTCGGGAGCCTTGAGATGGGGGTCAATGCAAACGGGGGTCAGCCAGGGCGCCAGATCCTGCAGGATCCTGCGAAGACCCCCTCTGGCTGACCCGGGTTAGCGAGCCGCTCGTGGCCGCGAGGCGGCCGCGCCTATTGGCTGACCCGGGTCTGCGAAGACCTGCGTTGCAGCTTTTTTTTTTTGTTCCTGCATTGCAGTTTTTGGTTTCCTGCTGACCCGGGTCTGGATCGACCCGGGTCAGAAGATCCCCGACTTCTTCGGATGCAACTCCTTAGAGGGTAAATTCAGCATTGGCGCTGGTATTAGATTCGGGGTCGACAGGCGGCGTAATCTGGCATAGCCAATTGAACGTTTTTCTCATCCCTGGTAGTATGGCTTAATCCTTGAGCTATTCTTCGGAGGGCACCAACTATACACCAACACCGATCCTGGCCCAGGATCACCCTGGGCCCAGGATCGGTGTATATGCCTTCTTGCGCAAGGCAGGAGGGCGTATACACCGATCCTGGGCCCAGGGTGATCCTGGCCAGGATCGGTGTTGGTGTATAGTTGGTGCCTTCCTAATTCTGGGCTAGTCCAACTCAGTTGCCACTCAATCGGGCGTCATCGCAGGTCATCGTTGTTAAGAAGACCTCCCTGGAGCTGCGTACGAAGGTATGCAGAATTCACCGCTCTCCTCAGAGCCCGCTTCAGGAACCGTCCTCCCCAGGGCCCGTTCTGACCTGTTCTCCTCGCCCTCCCGGATGTCAGGACCCGTTCTCCTCAGGACCCGTTCTCCTCAGGACCCTTTTTCTGAGGCGGCAATTTATCCATATCCACCGCCCGGAGGGTAAGTTTTCGGAGCCTCGGCAGGCGGTGGATATGCGCATGTTCGGGCCCCCCGGGGCCATATCCATTGCCCGCTGGGGCACCAGGACGTCGCTTCCCAGGCGGTGGATGTGGACAAGTCCCCGCCTCGCACTTTTCCCTTCCCTGCCAGGAGCGCGGACGACGCGCGGCTCGCGCCCGTCGCCGTCGTGGCGGCGCCCCCGGATGGCAAGGCCGGGCGCGGCGAGCAGCCGAGCCAGCGCGAGGTGCCCATCGACTGCGACACCGTGCTCCCCTACGAGCTGTACAAGGATCGGCGGCGCGCGGAAACAGGTACCTTCGATGTTCGTTTTGGGGACCTTTCTGGGGCCTACATAATGAATATGTTCGGCTCAAGTTCGACTCAACTTCGACTCAACTTCGACTCAGGTTCGACTCAGGTTCGACTCAAGTTCGACGCGGGGCGACGGACGTTCGTTCGATGCAGCTTCGACGAACGAGTGGAGCGAGTAGCTCCACGAAGGTCCCCAGAGCGATCGTCTAAGGTGCCGCTACCGCTGCCCTTCCCTCGGCTTGGCCTCTTTGGGCCTCCTGGGAGGCTTCTGGGAATTCTGGTCGGAGCGCGCCCCGGGAGAGATCCGGGGAGCAGAGTTCCCCCCCGCCCGCAGTGAGCTGTGCAAGGATCGGCGGCGCACAGAGCCGGGCCTCCACCGTACCGAACCAACCAAGACGGAGGTTGTTCGCTGCTTTCGGCCTCTGGGGGCCCTCGCTGGGCCCAAAGGTTCGTCAACAAAATCAACTCAGGAAAAAGCCTGTCGGGGAAGGGTCGAGAATTCCAGGACGCCGCCATCAAAACATCAAGATGGAAGTTCAGGTTGCTCATCCGTTTTCAGGTCGCAAGGCCCCAGGGCCGTCACATAATTCAACTCAGGACGAAAGTTGGTTTCGGGAAAGGGTCGATATTTCTGAGACCCCGCTGGACAAAACATAAACAAGACGGATGTGTTTCACCGTTCTCGGGCTCCAGGGGCTTTTGCCAGGCCCCAGGACCGTCAGACAAGCCACTCGATGCAAAGCCTGTCCCCGGTAAGGGGTCGAGAACAGATCGCTCCAGAGTGTTTTGGATCGCTCTTAGAGCATTATGGAAAGCTCTGGAACGGCCGCGGCGCCCGATAAAGTTCCAGAGCCGCCGGATCTCAAATATTCCCGATCTAACGCGGTCCGATGTTGTCCCTGTCTTGGCTGGCATCGCGCATTGACAAAAACCCGTGCGTCGGATCTCTGGGGAAGGGGGCAGGCATGACGACGGCGACGGTGTTCTCAGCAGTGCACCGTCACTTTTTAGGAGCCCTCCTGCCTCCTGAGAGGCCTTTTGGGAGCTTGTGGCAGGACCTTACGATCCCCCCTTTCTTCCTAGAAGCCCCCCTCCCCAGAACTCCGACCATCAGATCTTTTGTTGTGCATCTGGCCCCTACCCACTCAGAACTCTCGAGCCCTTTAGCTTGCTCCAGATGTTCGTCCTTAGTTGCTCTCCGAAACTGAACCAGGACGCAAACTGGGGAGCACCTCCGGCGAGTCTGGGCGATCAAAAAATACCGGTACCAGCTGCTCGCCTGACCTCTCCAGGGGTGCGTCCTGACCAGGATGTCGAGGCGAATCCAGCCTCATGATGTTCCAACCTACTTTAGCTTTGATCACAAGAAAGAGTTTCGAGCACCAGAGAGGTACCGAAACTCAAGGGCTTTCACGTGTCGGGCCCTGGGAGACATTGTTTCGACACTCTTTCGACACTCTTTCGACACTTCCCTTGGTGCTCGAAATTATTTCTTGGATGTGGTCCTCAAGTACGACGGGAGCAACATACATCCAGCCGTGGCGACGAGGGAAGGGTAGCGGCATCGGTATATGTTCTTTTCTTGGGCGTCTGCGTCTTCTGCCGCCGTCGTCGTCGACGACGACGACGCCACGGAGGACTTGGTCCGCGCGGGCCGTCGTGCCAAGATGCGCGGCCAGCACGAGCTGCACGAGAGCCCCCACGGGTCTGGGGGGCGCGGCGCGCGGCACCTGCGCAACATGAGTTCCGCCCCGTTCTAGGCGCGGAGCTTGGGCCCGCTGTCGGTGTGTGCGCACGCCCTCCCGGCTTGGCCAGGGAGCCGTGTGCACCAATCGTGGGCGCAGGATTCGCCCGGCCAGGATCGGTGCAAGTAGGCGTGTCCTGGAGGAGAGGCTCGCAGACGGCCGTGCATGCAGTTCCCATGAGCGCGCCATTGACGCAGCGAATTCATTCGGCGGGCCTGACGCGTCCGCGTCTGCAGTCACCTCCACGTGCGTTTCGAATCCTCTTACTTTATATTCCTCAGCCCCTCAAAGACCTCCTCTACCGCTCCGAGAGACGCCCTAAACCTCGAGAAGACCCCAGAACCTCTCCAACCCCAACAGCACCTCCACGATATCCTACAGCCCCCCGCCCTAGAACCCAGTAGCAGTGTCCAAGCTCAGAATATCAGCCTTTCCTCCTTCCCTCCCGGCCCCCGGCTCGGCGAGGGCCCCCCGGAGGACGAGAACGGTTCCCCCTCCTTCCCGTCGTGTGTTTTTCCACGACGCGAGGGGCTCGGGGAAGCTCCTACTGTCAGGACTTGGTATCACTCGGACGTGTGCACTTTTTCTCGGCGGGGATTATTAAGGAGCATCCTGGATCATCCTGCGAAAAAAAATAATCACGCACGAAACCGAAAACAAAACACAGGGAGTGGACGTCCGAGCGACGGGGAGACGAGGAGGAGGAGGAGGAGGAGGAGGACCTGTGCAAACCCAAGACTCGTCAACGGTGTTGGAATACACCCTCCCTCCAAGCTCCCTCTACACTGAGGGAACTGCCTCGTTGGGAGACCTGACCCGTTTGAAGACCCTGAGGCATGCCACAACACCTTTTTCGGGACTCCAACGCCACGGACCATCTCGACTGTTGCGTCTTGACGATCCTGAGTCCTGCCAAAACACCATTCCTGCGACTCAACGCCGCGAATCAACGTAACTGCTGCACCCACACAACCCTGAACCATTCCAAAGCACCACTTCTGGTACGCTGACCATGGGAACCCGTGAAAGTATTGCAAATGTTTGGGAACGAATGTGCGCGGCGTTGAGGCGAGAGCCACATCATTCGAACGAACCGTCCTCTATCAGCGAAAACCTATGAAATTTCTACAACGGATGCACGCGGCGCGACGGCGAGAGCTACATTTTGAAGACCGTTCACCCTCAATCTGTTAGCTTTTTCCAAATGTTTAAGATCTACCGGCTTCGGGGTGCTACAGGGATGAGTTGTTTATACGGAAAGTGAATGCAGGAGGAGGAGGAGGAGGAGGGGGAGGAAGAGGAGGGTGGGAAGACGAGGAGGGGAAGGATCAGGAAGAGGAGGAGCTGGAAAGGAGGCGGAGGAGAGGGAGGACGAGGAGGACGAGGAGGAGGACGAGGAGGAGGACAGGAGGACGGGAGGACAGGACGAGGAGGAGGAGAGGACGAGGAGGATGAGGACAGGATGAGGAGGAGGAGGACGACGAGGACGACGAGGAGGAGGATAGGTCGAGGAGGAAGAAGAGGAGTACCTCCTTTCTCCCGATTCCCATCCCCAGCCTCGGCCCGCCCAGTGCCCGATGCGGCGCTTCCGAGGCGGGCCTTGGCCTTAACACGCCCCCACGCGCGGCGGCGTGACCAGAATTCGGCGTTGCCAGTCGAAGTCCTCCGCCAGCCGGCGGGCAGTGAGTCTTCGGCCTGACGGAGGGTGTACATCAGGGGCAACGTTCGGGGGGGGGGCGGCCACGGCGGGGGTGATGACTGGGGGAGCATGGACATCATGGTCTTGGCATCGCTCGGACGTGTGATTGTTTTTTCGGCTGGGGCCATCGAGAAGCATCCTCGACCATCGGGCCAACAAAACACGCACGAAACCGAGAAATGCACAGGGAAGGGACGTCCGAGCGATGGCGAGTGGTGGGGGCCATGATGTCTCCCCAGATGTTTTGGCGCTTTCGCTTGTTTCAACACGCTTCCTGGCGCCCCCAGGGGCCGCGCACATGCCTCGGGCAATGATTTGCGCGCCTCCCCTCCTGGACGTCTCCCGTCTTGGCCGCCCCCGAGTTCGGTGGGGATCGGCTTCCGGGGTAACACTGAGGTTCTCGGATGCATTCGTCGGCTCCTCAGGTGTTCTTGCCTCGGGACTCGTTTCGGCGGCTGCGCAGCGCCGACAGGCGTCCGGGGGTGCCGGGAGATCCCTGGATGGCCGAGTTGTGGTGACCCAAGGGCCAGACGTCAGGAATCACTTGGGGGACTCGTGCAGGCTCAGGGGGAGAGTCGCCGGCCCCCGATCGACCAGTCGTCGCCGATGGGGCCCGCCCCCTCCAGCCCAGGAGCGTGCGGTGTCGCTGTCGGGGGGCCGTCGCCGATCTGTCGGCGATGTGTCGCCAGCTCCAGGTCGGCGTTTCCCCCCCCCCCCCCCCCCTTGAGCTGGTCTCCGCCGAACCGGGGGGGGGGGGCGCAGAGCTCCTGCGACAGAGAAGGACGTACCCGTAAAGCCACACTGTGTCGGAGGTCCGCGCGGATTTCTCGGGCTGGCGTTGGGCGAACCCCTGACGGCGCATCCAGCGCTTCACCGCCCGAGCGCACTCCGCGCGGAAGGAGAGGTAGGCCTGGCGCCGACGCAAGAGATCCGCGCGGACTTCCGAGCGTCTATGCTCGCGATAGTTCATCGATCTCGGTCTGAAGGGGCTGTTGTCGGGCGCCCGGGCCGCGAGAGGTGGATACAGGTTGAAAGATTGACTCTGGGTGGGGGGGAAATTTTCTGGGGCCTGCGGATTGAACAAATCTACACCGTTGGCCGTCTGGGTGTAGCCGCACTGTGCCGTCGCAGGGGTTCCAGCTAGCGGATAGTGGCATCTTCTCTAGATCCTCCTCTCACTACTCTTCCTCCTCGAAATTGTGCGGCCAACCAGACCTGCAGGGTGAGACCTTTCAAGTTTTTCTGGTTTCGGCTTGAGCTGTGGGTGTACCGCGAAGCGTCTTCGGGCCAGCTCACCTCAGTCGGCGTGCCGCTCACGTGGGTGCCGCCCTCCTCCCCTCTCCTTCCCCTCCTGATCCGCCCCGCTCCCGCCGGAGCCCCGGAGACAGCACTCTTCAAGCTTCTGCGGGCGTGCTCAACCCCAGTGCGAGCGAGCGAGGGGGGGGGGAGGAGGAGGAGGAGGAGGAGGAGGAGGAGGAGGAGGAGGAGGAGGAGGAGGAGGAGGAGGAGGAGGAGGAGGAGGAGGAGGAGGAGGAGGAGGAGGAGGAGGAGGAGGAGGAGGCGGAGGAGGAGGAGGAGGAGGAGGAGGAGGAGGAGGAGGAGGAGGAGGAGGAGGAGGGGAGGAGGGGGGGACGCCCGAATGACCCCTGGAGCGCCCCGCGCGCAGAGGGGGGCGCGGGCAATCGCGCGCCTGCCGCCGGCCTCGCAGGCCCTGCTTCCGCGCGCGCGCGCGGCCCTGGCTACAGATGCGCCTGGGCTCGAGGAACAGATCAGGGGCAACGACAGGGGGGGATGGGCATAGGGGGGGATGCATCGACCCCCAATCGCCCATTGATCGCCGATAGGGGCCCGATAGCCCCAACCTGCCCAGGAAGGTGCGGACTCACTATCAGAGGCCCATCGCCGATCTATCGGTGATGTATCGCCGATTCCAGGTCGATGCATCCCCCCTATGCCTATTCCCCCCGATCGTTGCCCCTCAGAAGCTTGCGGGCCACATGGGGGAGGGAGTCGGGGAGTCGGCGACGGGCCAAGCCATATGTAGGCGTGAGTATCCCCCCCCCCCTCCGCTGCATGCGCCGGCGGAGGGGATGCTGGGTCCTCTTTCCCCATCTCCTCCTCTCCCTTCCCCTCACCCTGCCATCTCGTCCTCCTCCCCCTCCTCCTCACTCCGCCATTCCTCCTCTTCGCCAGGACTGGCTTGGCGTTTCTATCCCCCTGCTCTCCTCCTGCTCTTCTCCTCCTCACCTCCCCCCGCCCCGTGGATTTGGTCCATCGTCATGTCATGACCCCTATAGACATGCAACCGGGCTCCACTCGTGAAGGTCCCTTTGCCATTCCTCAAACACCAGAAACACAATATTAGTTTTATTTCTAATTTGGCCTCTCCCTCCATGCCACAGGACCTCCCCTAACCTGACACCAGGCACCTAACCTGACAGCGGTCCCGTCGCCGGTTGGCTCCTGTGGCACCTTGGACGCAGGAACGGCGTTGACGTGCAGCTCTGGTGAGTGCTTGGGGCTTGAAGATTCCTAATGGTCCTAATGAAGCTTTTGCCTGAGCGCCAGTCCCATTTCAGAGGTCCGACCGGTGACCGCAGCGCCGGCCACGTGTCCAGCATGATCTGGCCGTAGCGGCAGCGACAGTTCTTCTTCAGAGTAGTATTTCTACCGCTGCGTTGGCACCCACGCCTGCCACCTCTGCGTGGCGATTTGGATTCGGTTCAAGTGCAAATCCCATTCCGAGGACATCGGGTGGCAGAGATACGAGTCACAATATATAGCATCACAATCATTCACAAACAGTAACATTGATTCATTCCGCACGTGCTGCGTCAATGAATTCAAGAGTTTCCCGTAACCATCTCTCGTGATCAACCTCAGTTGACAAGGACCGCTCAGAGGGTGCTTCTCCCTTTCTTCCTTCTCCTCCTCTCCCGCGGCTCAGTGCGATGCCCCGGGCGTGAGGCTTGCACGCAGCCACCCCATAAACAATCATGTGCTTTCCCCGGGTTATACAAAATTGGTCAGTCTCAGTGTCTTTCTGTTGTTATCCCAACAGGCTTGAATTCGATGTTTGCGGAGACGGAGGCTGTGGATTTGCAGTTTGTCACGCCATTCTGAAGGACTGCTCGCGGGCAGCATGTTGAGCGTACAGAGATGGCAGAGGATTAGTTGGCATTGCGCATTACACGAGAGGGGCGATGGAGAAGGGACACTCCTGATTACTCACCGACGGGTCGACAGGACGATGTCTTGGAGCTGCACGAGTTGATCCTGAATGGCAGCCCAGTTCGACTTGACGGTGAATTACATGGCAAAGTTGTTTCTTTATGTCTCCGCATTGTCTGATGATAGTTTGCACATATTTGTTTTGTACGTCGTGTTGTTTTGGCAGTTGCCTATGTCGGTTCAGCCTGAAGCTCTATTGCGCCAGCACTTGCGTGGAAGTGCAGGTTACAGGAACGTAGCAGCAGCAATACTGCAATTGGATCTCAGGGGTTGCAGCCGCATCGTGCGGGAGAGGAGGGATCCATCTCCTCGTCCTCTCCCTCCTCCTCCTACGCCTTGGGAGCAGGGCGAGGATCCCGTCCCCTTCTGTTCATATCTCGTCCTTTGTTCCGAGCGCAGGCCGCGAGCCTTAGCCTTGTGGAGGACGACCAATGGAGAGGAAGCATGCTGCCAACTAATCTCCAGATGTCTAAAAGATGGTTCAACCATGTTTTAAACATGTTAAACCTAGAACATGGCTTCTACACATTTTAAACACATGTTGGACTCAATGATAGGACTGTCAGAGTGTCCATTGTCGTGGCATCCACAACCTTGGCCTCTCAGGAGCGGGCGTGCGAGGACGCGGGAGAGAGAAGGCTTGCGGCGTCTCCAGAAGTCCCCGCGGAGGCCTCCAGAGGCCGCCACTCGCGAGGAGGCTCGAGCACGGCCTCGCGCGCGCTTCGCGCGTCGCGCCCGCCGATTTTGGCCCACCGCCGCTTCGGCGCGACACGCTAGACACGTGTCCCTGGCACGGCATCAGCGGTCCAAGCTTTTTCTGGCCTCTTGCCCCGCGGAGCGGGGCGACACGCTGTCCGCGTGCAGGTCATAAGCTATAGCGTGTCGCGGGGGAGGCGCCGCCACGACACGCTAGGCAACAGCTCGTGACTGCAAGGCGCGTGGATGGGTAGCGACGGGCCCCGTTTCCACGCAGGATCGGACCACTCCGTTGCCAACTCGGGCGGCATTGGCCTCACGTCGGCACCACCCTAAATTTCTACATAAGCTGTGTGTGTGTGTGTGTGTGTGTGTGTGTGTGTGTGTGTGTGTGTGTGTGTGTGTGTGTGTGTGTGTGTGTGTGTGTGTGTGTGTGTGTGTGTGTGTGTGTGTGTGTGTGTGTGTGTGTGTGTGAGAGTTGCCCCCTCCCCCCTGTGGCGACGCGCGCGCTCAGAAATCTGGATGCTCGGTGGCGGACGCTGGCCATGCCGCCTGGGCAACGATGTACCCTGTGATGCTTGTGCTGCTTGTTCGGTCCGCACGTGCGCCTCCAAGGAGGGCACATAGTACTGGCATGTCCGTCTGCGTGCCATCACGCATCGGGGGGGGCACCCTCCCCGATCTGTGGGTCTCGCGCTCTCGCGCCAGGGATCCACGGGTCCATACTCCATGTCAGGGTGCGCCCGATCCCCCCCCCCCGCGGAGGCTTCCAGAGGTTGCAGGAAGCCCATGGGCGTGCAGCCAAGGCGCTGGACCACTTTCGGCTCTAGGTCGGGAACCGTGTTCGCGGCCGAGGCTCGCCGTGGCCAGGAAAGTTCCTCTGTTCCTTCTCCCGCGATCCTTATTCATATCACGACGGCTCAACGTTCTGTGGTCTCAGAGATTGCGCCCCTCAATTCCTCAATTCCTCGCAGGGCGGCGCGAGCGCGGCGGCACGCGCCCTTCTCCCCGGGAGCCGCTGCGGCTCTGGTGCCCCTGGGGGCTCGCGCACACACTCGCGGCGATCGACTCCTGGGCGCCCCAGCCGAGGTCGGCCCTGCCGCCGCCGCGGCCGCCTCCGCCTCCTTCGAGGCGGCGAGTTATCCATCACTGCCGCCTGGCTCTGGGGATTTCGTCAGGCGGGGGATCTGTATAGAAATAGTCTGGCCCCGGCAAGCCCACATCTATCCATGTCCACTGATTGCCGAGGTCCCCGAAGATCGAATCCACAGGCGATGGTGACGGATAAATCCTGGCGCCTGAGCCGCCTTTCTGGCGATCGCTGAGGTTGTCTGTCCGTCTGCTGTTGTCGAAGGACTTTTGCAGCGCGCTGCCGCCAAGCGAGGCATGGACAAAGGTTGAGGGATGGGGGTACAGAGCAAAGGGGAGCGGCCCTGAGCAAGTACTGCGCCCGACAGTCTGACAGTCTCGCCTCCCAGGCCAAGCCTTCCCGGACACACATCTGTCTTACAGGGCTGGACCTAGACGTTGTTTTGCTGGATTTCGGCTTTGTTATGTTTTTCGTTTTGGGATGGAGGATGCCGGAAAACAGGTAGAGCAAAACGGCAAACAAAACGATAACGAAACGAACAACAACGTTTAGGCCCCGCCCTGCTGCCTTACAACATTTGTCGTTGCGACACGCACCTCTCGAGAGCGACAAAGAGTGGGGTGATGACTAGGGGGGATGGGAATCATGGCGTTGGCCATGATATCTCCCCAGATTTCATGGCGCCGCTTCTTGTTTCATTACGTCCCTGGCCCCCCCCCTGGGCCGCGCACGTGCCGCTAGCCATGATTTGTACCCCCCCCTCTTGGACGCCCCCCTCTTGGCCGCCCCGAAGGCCCACAGGGGGCTACCGGGCGAAGCCCGGCGAAACCTCGGAGGACGAACCGAAAACAAAACGAACAGCAACGCTTGGGTCCAGCTCTGCTGCCTTACAACATTTGTCGTCGAGACACAGCTGGGGCACCGACCCCAGAAGAGGTGGAGGGGATCGTGCGTGCTTACCACATGTACAATGTCGTGCGCACGGCTCCTGATCCTGGCCCTCTCGATTCGGAGGAGGCCAGAGCCCGTCATTTCTATGCCATTCGCAGGGCTACACAGGCCCTTGTTGACCACTCTCGAGCGCCCTTCTAGGCCTAGTCGGACGCTCTGACCTCGACCCCCCAGGTAAGAGCGATTTATCGTTGCGACATGCGCCTCCGCGCTACCGCGGTCGCGACCGCGGGCTCCAACGGGCGACAACTCGGCGGGCCCAGCCGGTGCACAGCCTCCTCCTCCTCATCCTCCTCCTCCTCCTCCTCCTCGTCCTCCTCCCCTCCCTCCTCCTCCTCCTCATCGTCCGCCCTACCGCGGACGCCACCGCGGCCTCCAACGGGCAGCCTCTGGGCGACACCGCGGCGGGCCCAGCCGGCGCACCGGGGCGCACGCGAGGCGCCCGCGGCCGGCCACTGGGTGACACCTCGGCGGGCCCAGCCGGCGCACAGCCTACTCCTCCACCTCCTCCTCCTCCTCCTCCTCCTCCTCCTCCTCCCCGTCCTCCCCGTCCTCCTCCTCCTCCTCCTCCTCCTCGTCCTCCTCGTTCTCGTCCTCGTCCTTCTCCTCCCCCTCCTCCTCCTCCTCCTCCTCCTCCTCCTCCTCCTCCTCCTCCTCCTCCTCGGCGAGCCCAAAGGCCCACAGGCGGCTACCAGTCAAGCAGTGGCGAAGCGTCCTGGCTCGCCTGTAGCCCTACCAAACAATGTTCTAAGAACCTTTTGTGGTTTCCACGGAATGTTCTTAGAACATTTATGATTGAGATTGTCTTGCTTTAATTCATCGGGTTTATGTTCTAAGGATATCGAGGTTGTTCCTAGAACATTTTTGGGTTCTAAGAACATTTCGTGGTAGGACTATAGGAATGCGGGGACGGTCGGTCCCTGCTCAAACCAGGCAAAACCTCGGAGGACTCAAGAATTTATTCAGCGCAGGCTGTGTTGCGGGAGATGTCCAACAGCCTATGCGGTGCAATGTGCCACCCAGGCGGTGCAGCTTCGGTTGTGCAGTCGGTCAGTGTAGCACGATCTAGGTGGCGCAATTTGTGTGATGCAGTCTACGTGGTGCAAGATGCAACGTAATGTAAAGCAATTCAATGCAAAGCAATGCCAAGCGATGCAATGCGGTGCAAGCAAAGCGATGCAAAACAAAGCAATGCAAAACGATGCAACGCACTGCTCAGAAATGCTATGCCATTCCAATGCAAAGTACTGCAAAGCTAAACGAAGCAATGCAAAGCAGTGCAGTGCGGTGCAATGCAGCGATTGCAATGCAACGCGAGGCGTTTGCCATGCAAGGATACTGCAACTCCATTCGAAGCGGCGAACGCAAATCAATGCGATTGCAACGCACTGCGATGCGATTGTCATGCAATACGATTGCAGAGCAGAGCAACGCGGCGACGGGCGTCGACGAGCCGACCAGACCGCCACTGGAGCCCAACGTGGCGACCGCGGCAACGGGGCGGCGACGAGCCGAGCGACGAGCCGGCCAGACCGCCACTGGGGCCCAGCTCCGACGGCGGCGACGAGCCGAGCGACGGGCCGGCCAGACCGCCACCGGGGCCCAAGGTGGCGACGGCGGCGAGGGGCGGCGACGAGCCGGCCTGGCGGCGAGCTGGCCCGACTGTCGTGTGGGCCCCGCGGCGACGGGCGGCGACGGGCGGCGACGAGCCGGCCGGGGCGGCACCGGGGCCCAGCGGCGAGCGGCGGCGGCGGGCGGCGGCAAGCCGGCCAGGGCTAGGGGGCCAGATGCGAACCCTACCCCTACCCACCCTCCCCCTCAGAAATCGTGGGGGGTAGGGGTAGGGTTCGCATCTGGCCCCCTAAGGGCGGCTCCAGAGGTCAGTTGCCTGGGGGCAAGACTCCCTAAGTGCAAGCAGCGTTTTGGGAAGTCTTGAGAATGGGAAGTCGTCGATTCCACTGCTTGTGCAAGCATCGCACCATCCCACCCGCAGCTTGTTTGACAAAACCCTTTCGGCCACGTCTACGGTTCTAGGCTGGGGTCAGGCGCGCCCGTGCTCGCACGCAGCGCCACGGTGGCACATCTGATGCGGCCACGGTGGCGTTTAGTGATGGGAAGTTTCCAGCGTGTCTCAAAGGCTGGCACGCGGCCACTTCACTGCGGCTTGGTAACTCGGCGGGCGAGGTATCACTATGACGTCGACAACGGTGGCAACGATGTTGATGATAGATGTGATGGTGGTGGCGAAGGTGACGATGACGACGGCAAAGCTCATGACGGTGCCGATGCTGGTGACGACCGTGACGTAATGATATCCATGTGCCGGTGATGAGGGTGATTGTGTTGATGACGGTAGCAGAGGCGGCGATTGACGATGACGATG